CCCCCCAGCAGCAGTAGCAGGGCCCCGGCCCCACAGCCCAGCGCCTGCAGCCCCAGCCCAGCGGAGGGTCCCAGCCGGGGCGGCAGCAGATCGGCGGCCCCCAGGACCCCGCTCTGCAGGGCGAGGGTGGCCACCAGGGCCGGCAGCCCCCGCAGCCGGGCTGGCAGCAGCCGGAGCTGTGCCAGGCGCTGGAGCCGCTGGAGCAAGAGGGCAAAGGCGGCGAGCAGCAAGGGGAAGGGGGCTGTGCTGAGCAGCAGCAGCGCCCGGGGGGGCAGGCGGCCCCGTGCCCCGTAGGGGTCCAGCAGCAGGAAGGTGGCCCGCAGTAGGCAGGCAGCCAGCAGCAGCCCGTGGGCCCCTAAAATATGGGGCAGGTGGGGGGGGCGGAGGGTGGCCGCCCCCGCCAGGCCGGCCAGGCAGCCCAGCGCCAGCAGCAGGAAGATGGCAGCCGCCCCATAGATGTGGGCCTCCCAGGTGAAGCCCAGCTCTCGCTGTAGCTCAGCCCACCGCCCGGTCCCGTTGGCCCCCGGCGTCGGTGAGGGATGGTCGGGCTGTGGCCGCAGAGTGGATGGGTGCCGGGGGGCCAGCGGCGTTGTCGCCCCTGCCTGTCGCCATGTGGCCGAGGGGGCTGCAGTGCTGTGGGTGGGGGGCTGTGTCCCCGAGGTGTCTGTGGGCAGCAAGGAGGGGGGCAGTCAGTGGGGAGCAGGGGGTACCCCGCACACGCGGCTCTGTTACACCCCATTCACACCCCGTGGCTGGGATGCATCGGCCACAGCACCCCAGTACTGCGGGGGGGGGATGCCCTGTGCCAGCCAGGGCTGTGCCCACCGACACCTCCCAGGGGTCTCTGGCAGGACCCGTGGTGCAGGGGGGGTGTCACAGATCCAGACACATCCCTGGTGTTCTCCCGGGGAAGATCCCACCCACTGGGCACTTAGCACTAATCTTAGGAGTAGATTAGGGCCATCGCCGGGCACAATCCTGATTGAAGGTGTCACCACGTCCCAGCTGGGTGGCCCAAGATAGCTGCCATCCCCCCCGCCAGCCCCAGGGGTGGGCTCCCACGGCATCCCCACTGGATGGGCTCAGTTGTGGCCCCTCATCACCTGAGTGCCTGGTTCCGGACGTCCTTGTGGTGGCATGCGCCGTTGGCTGTGGGGTGGCCTCAGTGGCATTCGGGGTGCTCACGGCACCCACGGCGCCTCGGACACGCTGTGGGGAGCCAATGTCCTCCTCAGGAAGCAGCTCTGTGAGAGAGGGCAGAGCCAGGCAGTGGCACCCACAGGAGCTCGGTCCCTGCCAAGGAGTGCCCCCATGCCATGCTGGCTCCTACCTGTGCCAGGGGTGCGAGGGGTGCCTGTGCTGGAGGTGGGTGACAGTGCAGGGCTGGTGCTGATGGCAGCCCCCTTGGTAGGCTGTGGTTCATGTTGTCCCGTCAGCCTGGGGTCCGTGTGAGAGGGGGCTGCATCCGCAGGGCTGGTGGTGGCACGGCTGAGTGGGGCCCTCCGGGTGCTGCGCTGGTGGACCAGGAGTACCTGGGTCCAGCTCCGTGGGGCAGAGCTGGGCAGAGCCAGGGAGGTGCTGGGGGGCCGACCCAGGTCCCCCCAGCTGCCCACTGGCTGCGCAGAGCCAGGGCTGGCGTGGGGACCTTGGGCTGGCCCTGTGCCTGTAGGGTAGGGGACGGGGACAGTGCCCAGTGGGACTGCATTGCTGCTGGCTGGAGTGAGCTGTGCCCCTCGAGGGAGGCCCGGGGCTGCCATGGGTTCCTCTGCCACTGGCTGTCCCCCTGCACGGGTATCTGCTGTCCCCACCGATGGCATGGGGGTCAGGGCAATGGTGGACACGGTTGGCCGAGGGCTGGGGGTGCTGGCTGGCCTGGTGTCACTCTGCCTGGCTGGGGATGACCCTGGGGAGCCCAGCCCCGTCTCCGTGGGCACCTTGGGGGCTGGTGTCCCCAGCGCAGAGCTGTGGGGAAGCCAGGTCCCCCCCGGGGGGCTGTCCTGACCATCGGCCTCCTGTCCTTGCCAGATGATGAGGGGCTCCTCTTCCACGGCCGGGGCTGCGCCGCCATCCTGCCAGGCCCCGGTGCCAGCGCTTGCCATGGTGGTTTCTGACTCCAGGAGTGCCCCCGTGGCATCTGCCACCTGCAGCGGTGGGGCCTGGCGTATGGGGCTGCCCCATCGCTCGCTCCTGGGGGCCCCAGCACCGCTCGGCTCCCCCGACGCCTCCCAGGCAGGGGACAGGTCCGGCCACTGCTGTCCCCAGGAAGGGCTATGCGGGGGGTCCCTGCCCCGCTGCAGGGTCCCACCTGGGGACAGCCCCTCCGGCAGCGTCCCCTGAGCCCCAGCAGGGACCCCGGCGGACAGGAGCAGCCCCCAGGTGACGAATCGCGCTGCAGCCATGGTGAGTGCCCAGCGGGCCCTGCGGGGACAGGGGGGCTCGGTAAGCCAGGACCCACAGCAGCTGCCCTGGGGGGCTCACACCACTGGCAACCCACTGCCCGGGGACAGAGACAGCGGCCGGGCTGTCCCTGCTCAGGCTGGTCCCGGGCCCTGTCCCCAGCTGTCCCCATCCCCGGTGTCCCTACTGCCAGTGGCCCCATTCACGGTCTTCCCACTGGTGGTCCCCATCCCGGTGTCCCCTGTGCCGGTGGTCCTTGGCGCTGAGTGGTCGCGGCCCCTAGCACCCCCGGTGTCTTCTCCCCGCTGTCCCCGTCACCGGTGTCCCCCTCCCCGCTGTCACCTCCCTGGTGCTCTACCCCCGGTCCCCCCCCCCGCCGGTGTCCCCGCTGCCGGCGGCCCCGCTCCGGCGCGCACCGTTCACCTTGGCGCGTCCCCGGCTGCATCCCGGCGGGGATGCCCGGCCCGGCGCGCCCCGCCGCCGCCGCACACGCGGCTTATCCCCGCCGGGAACGGGA